AGAGAGAGAGGGAGTCGCGCGAAGTATTATGCACAAATATACAAATGCAGACAACCTGCTGACTCTGCGCTTTAATAATTCATGCCGAGTGCATATACGAAGGAAAGGTGCGGGCAAGTTTTATGTTCTGAAGTTTCGCCAGAGAGAGAGAGAGAGAGAGAGAGAGAGAGAGAGAGAGAGATTTCTGCAGTCACCGAGAACTAGAACCTCTGCGTGTGTACGTATGTATAATGTATGCGTGCGTGTGTGACTCGGCGGACCTTGTAATAAAAACTAAGGGTACTATTACGTTTGTCGTACGACAAGATTTTCACGCATGTCGATTGGCTGTAGAATAGAAGAGTTCTTGAGTCTCTAGAGATGATCTATTCTGCCGCTAATTGACACGCTTGACAAATTTGCCGCACGTCAAATACGGTATTAGTCTTAGGCCGCCGCGACCGCGACGTATAATTCCGAGACGATTTTACGCATGCCCGAGCGCGTTCTTATTTAATATTTCAACGAGCGCCTTCGATCGGGATATCCGGACGTTTCTCGCGAGATTTGTAGAAAAATTTTGAGCAGCATCTCGGTTCTTTCGGAGCGCGAGACGTTACCGCCGCGACGGTTCGCCGTCCTTCGCGGCCGCGATGGAATTTTTTAATGAAGAGCTCATTGTCTTCGCCACGTAAATACGCTGCGTTACCGACCGCTTGTGAACCTCAGAGTCCGCGGCACACCTTGACAGAGAGCAGTATAGTTCGCGAGGCGAGCTTTTGAAGCGGATATCAGGCGGGTCGGCATTGAGCTCTCCATGTGAATATTAACTCCGTCCGCTCTGCCTACGTAAATCTTCCCAGTCTTTATTTTGCTTCACTCCTCCAAGCGAGAAAGAGCACAAAATTCTAAAGAGAGAAGAGTTACTTCAAGTCGAATCTATCGTCGAATTTTTCGACATTCACTCTCTTAAAGTTAATTGATCGATTATGATTTATGATCAGCGACTATTCACTGCATTTCAGTGATTGATTGACTTTAGAGGAGTGTGTTGCAAGGACACACAAAGGTCTTCTTCTAGAATCTCGACCCAAAATAGCCGAGGTCTTTTTCTCTTCCTCAATAGCATTCACACTTTATTATCTTTATCTTCGCGACGTGAGACTCGCGTGGCATAAAAATTTCAAAAGAAATAGTTAAGTTGCAATGAACTACGTCAGATCTACCTGAAATCGAGCGCCGTCATTTTCCTACTGCTTACAAAAATGCGCTTTGCGGAAATTTCAATTCATACGATAGGATCGCTCCTTCTTCCTACGTGACGTCGGCGCGGGACTATCCGTTGCGTGTAGGATGTCCTGGACGTCACAACGTGGGTTTCCTAGTCACGCACCTACGCGCGTTTCTCTTTCCCTCCGTCTCTCCCTCCGCGTCATCCCGTTTCTCGCTCTTTCGTCTCTCATTTCGCCAGACGCGAGTGTAGGAAGCGTTGTATTTTTAGCCTAGTCCCGAGACCCGTGACTTTATCAATCGTCATAACGACATGCCGCCTGTACGCGGAATCCGCCGAAATCGCATTCGTGGCAACGCGATCGTGGCGCAGTGCCGATACGATTACTGTCAAACTCGATGTTACAATGTCTATTACGGCGTGGCATATCTCGATCTTTGGACTGTAATCCGGACTAGGGGCTAAAGTAAAATAAAGAAGTCACCCACGCGAAAGTCGTATTCACTTCCGAGCGATGAATTCGCCCGTTCGCATTTGGTTCGTGTAAATAACTCGCGCTTTAAAAGAGTCTCGCTAGCTCCGAATCCAGAACTCGTTCAGAGAGCGTGCGCGCGAGAGAGACAGAGACTCGTTAATGCAAATCACGCGGCTCGAATCTACATCCATGCGCTATTAATAACCAAATTGCGCCTAGATAATGATTGCGCGCACGTCAATCTTATTATTTTTTCCTTTGCCAACAGAAAAACTGCTCTCAACTTACGTTTTCACGTGACGCGAGTAATTTTCAGATATTTGTTTTCTCTCATCCGGGAGTTCCGAGACTAACCGAACTTCCCGCTTTATCTTTTCCCGTCAGTTCGACGCAGCGACGGTGAAAAATTAATCCCAGACCGTTGAGTCTCAACAACGTTTACAATAATAATGCCGCAATAATGCTGAGACTCTTTGAAGAGCGTTCGGGGCGTTGGATGTTAACGTTTGCGTCTCCCACCGAAATAGAGGCACGGTCTAATTCCACGCCTTGCCGTAACACCTTGCCGAGGCCCCACGCAGTCCAGCCTCCGTTTGCGCTCCGTTTGTTGCACCCCGTTGCGTTTTGTACATAAAGCTTCGTGCACGGAGCAGACACACCCCGCAGGAGGAGGCCTGATTGATCTTCGAGGAAGAGCCAATCGGATTTCTCGCCATCGTTGAAATATTAATAAGTTCGCTGGAGGCTCGTACCGGCGAATGACGTGGCGATGCGGCGGCGATTACGTCGCTTTCAGGGAATTTCGCCGACGTGATTCCCTATAAGATAGCTCCGGTCTATCCGCTGGACGACTTGTAGTTATTTCCTCCTTATCAAAAACGGTGTAAAAATAGCTCGTGCAACGGATACTTTGTCTCCGCGGGAAATAGAGTAATGACGGTCGCGTGTAAAAATTACTGAAATTTTTTGGCCGCGTATTTACATTGTTCTTAATCTCCGTAATGGTGTAATGCAATAATGTTGTTTTAATGCTCGAGTGCTTGCGTTATCTTAACAAAAATGTGTGCGTTGCGTCAGATGTTCGAATGATAAGGCCACCTTTCCCGGCGGGAGGCCGGTATCGATTTGCGTTCGTTCAAGAGGGCCGGGCGACTTTTCGAAAATGTTTACGAGACGTCCGATCGGGGCGTTCTACATTATTTTTCATTGAAAAAGCTCTTAATGAATGTGCGACGCACGTGTATGACTCATGCAAGTCACACGTGACACTTTCTGCAAACATTTGACGTATTTCTATTCTGTGTGCAATGAGATTCTACGTAATTAGCCCAAGTAGATTAATTTACGGTTTACCGCGAGCACAGTTTACGACACATTGCGAATTTATTTACGAGCATCGCGCCGTAGCGCTGGGAGATAAAATTAGCAAGGCCTGCATAAGAAGATGTGACTAGCTCCGACTAAACTCCGATTGACCTGATCGGCGATTGACTCAACCGACGGAATTGTTTACAGTGTACTTTCTATACACTTCTGTCCTCGTTCTATCTCTCCAAGAAGAAATGTTTAATCTACCTTTTGTGTCGGCCAAAAATTAACAATTCGGTAATCGACCAGTTACGCGCCAACAAATTACT